CAGGTCAGAATGCACAGGGAAGAACTGTACAACCAGTTTGGGAAGGATTTAGCACAAGGTTAAAAAGTGTTCAGTTGAGTATTCAGGGAGGTGGTGCTAGAGAGTTGGCAGAAGCTGTGGAAAATACAGTTTCGACTTTCCAGTTCTATTGTGATGCTCAGTACTTAGCCTTGCTTTCCCTCTACCTATTGTTGTGAAGCTACAATGCTCTGCACAATGCTCTATGGAACAGTGGTGAGATAGAAATAAAAAAAAACTGTCTAGAATGATTTACCATGGCATTCATTAACTTACTTCAGTTCTGAGATGAAATAACACAGACATCCTATTCATACTTTTAAAAATAATTTTCTTTTAGTTTCAAGACCTTTTGCATCTTCAAAATGTCCAGTGGTGATGTCAAATGATCACATCTGAATATAAGAATTGAATACCACATCACCATGAATAAGAGTCATCTGCAACCTATTTTCAAAGTGCATGTTACCCTAGGCCAGTCATGTTTTGGTACCTGATGTAGATAACCTCACAAACTCCTCTCTCCTTTCCAACCAATAAAAATACAATTATAATACATTAAATAATTAACAGCTGGCTGCCCTTTAAGCCTACTCAAAATCTGCTACTTATAGAGGCTGTCTCACTATGCCTAAGAATAGAGCTGGCCCTGAACATTACTCTCATCATATCCAGATCTTATATCATCTTCCTAGGTGCCACTTCTTATGAGGCCACATTTCTAATTCATGCTTTTCCACTTCATGCTTTTCCACTGCAATATCATAAAGGAGCCTTGTAACTTTGCACTGGGGACATAATAAGGGAAGGCACATCATGATTTATTTTGTTTATAACAACATTGTTCCTTGGTCAAAACACACTCTTGTCTGATAATATAGCACTTGGAATTATATTGTTAACATTATAATATTTTGTTATGAAAGAAAAGGAAATCTGACCTGAAATACAATGATTGATTAAAAAATATTTTAAGTTCATAAAACATGAGCTCCATTAAAGTACTCTCCAAGAATATATCAATCATTGTTGACTTTTAGTTCTCCGAATTTGGGCCAGGAACACCCTGTATTTCAACTGTGGCTGGAAATGCATGGACCAAAAGAAGCAACTTCCAGCCACTTTGGGGGTGTAGCCTTTACATGGCACACACCCCCAAAGCAGGCAGAAGCCACACTGAGGCTGTGCTCCAGTCCAAAGGACCGAATCAAAAAGGAGTCAGCTTAAATCAATTCCTGGCTGACGCAACTTGGGACCTGTGGTAGCAGGCTGCTTTGGGAGCAGGCTGTTCAGTTGTCATGGTCCTGGAGGCTGCACCTTCCTGGCCATCTGATTTGTCTCTGTTCTTCCAATCTGAAAAGTGGTTCCCAGTTCCAAGGAAATTTCTATTATAGCTTCAGTGGCTTCTCTTCCCAGTGTGCTGGTCAGACAAAATAAAATAATGAAATAGTTATGGGAATAACTGAATCTTATTTTTACCAAGCTTCTGAAACAGTGTTTGAAATACATTGTGAATTGCATACACCCAAAGAAGAACTAAGCACCTGGGGAATTTCCTGTTGTAAATTCCAGCACTCCTGGGAAGCTTTCCTGCTAATACCTGGTCGCTGCAGGATGATAGCTCATCCTGAATACTAGTGGATTCACTTCCCATGAGACAGCCAGCTCTGGCTTCAAGAGTTGTTAATCACATACTGAAGATTCAGCACTACAAAAAGATGCTTCCACAAACTTTTATTAAAATCTCCTGGAACACAAACCAATAACCTGACTTAAATGAGTAGTTATATTAGTACATACACACCCTCTAACTGTCCCAATTTGGCATGGGCAGTACCAATGAATCCTCTGTCATCCTACTTTTTCAGCTGGTTTCAAAATGTTTCCATTCCTTTCTCTGCCTCCCACTTTTCCCCTCTTGTGCTCAGCATACTTCAATGGCTGCAAACTGAATTCAAAGTGCAAAACAAGTTGGCATTTAATTGATTCACTGGGCAGAGAGGAGGGGAGAGTCTTGCATTTCCAAGTACACTCAGGCAAAAGTATGCTCAGGCACCAGTCCCTCCTAGCTCATCTGTTCTCCCCCATTAATAACTTTTGCCATCTTGACCACAGTCTGATGTTCCTTGAACACATTTCTCCCAGTTTTCTTCTTTAAAATGTTGGAGGGTATGCTGGTGTCACTGTTAGTGCATCTTAGAAAACCTAAGATTGTCCTCATCTCTTAATGCAGACCCCCCCTCCCCTGACCTATACCTATTAGCTTCTGCCCAAAGCTGAAAACATTCCCTTTAAAACAGAAAGCAAACTCTTAGACCTTCAGAGCTTATCTCTTAATATTGAGCCAGCATGGTGTAGTGGTTTGAGTGTTGGACTATGACTGAAAATGTAGGGTTTGAATCCCTACTCAGCCCTTGAAAACTACTGGGTGATCCTGAGCAAATCATATTCTCTCAGCCTCAGAGGAAGGCAAAGGTAAACCTCCTCAAAACAAATCTTGCCAAGAAAAACCTATGCTAGGATTGCCTTAGGGTTACCATAAGTCTGAAGCAACTTGAAAGCACACAAGAACAACAAAGAGAACACAAGTCACATCTTTTACTTTTATTACCTACTTATGCACATGTTGAGCTGTGCTTGTATGACTCAACCTTTGGTCAAGTTAGACCTATTCCTGCTTATAAAAGTTTGTTAAAGGGCATGACGTCTGGAGTGAAACCCACTCCCAGCAAGAAACCATTTGTTTCGCCATGGGAGGTCACCACTCTTTTGATACTTCAGCTCTTAATCCACCACACACAGAGCCAGGGGTTCCCCAAATAATTAAAGAGTATCAGGGAGGTTACATTAGGGCAGTGGTACCCAAAGTTTTTATCCTTGGGACTTCCCTTCACATCTACATGCAGATGTCATGCGCGCACCCCCACTCAATGTAGTATATAAATAAAAATATTTTGTTTATTTAGTGGTGGTATTTTCTTTCACACCTTCATGTATATTCATCTTTTAACATTTTATAAGGAAATGACCTTGTTCAAACTAGAACAGTTAAGTAAATTCAATATTTACCTCAATGCATGTGTAAATTTTACACATAAAGAAGTTTAGGAAGAGGAAGGATCAGGGCCTCCCAGTCTTGCACCCCCATTGAGCAACCCTCATACCCCCCCCCCCGGTTTCCACCTCATTGAGAAATGACTAAATTAGGGGATTATGCAGAAACAAAGTGCAACAACTGAGGTGCTCTCCTAAAGGAACACACAATGCATCTGAATTGTGTTAGTGTGGTTACCTCTCCCCTTCCAGACAGAGTAAAGAGACTCCATAGACAGACGTCTCTCAGATGAGGCTTTAATCTTCCCATGACACAGCATGAGTCAGCATGACTCAGCTGCAATCAAATGCTGTGTCATCATGGCTCCTGCTATTCCCCACATTGTACATTTTCCCCTGGGACACCTTCCTAATAAATTGCAGTCTACATTAATTATGCCATGTCTGATGTCCTCACATTATTTTCTCTTCTTATCTTCCGAATGCCAAAGGGGATTTGGGGAGGAATAGAAAGAGCAGATTTTCTCACTGGGACCATCAATTACCCATCAGCTTAGGTAGATGTCTAATATTGCTGATGCTAGTATCACCCTGAGTTACAATTTCGCCATCTACAAGAAAATCAAAATGTCACAAAAATAGCAGGTTTCTCTGTTATTGATCATGCAAATCTTACCTGGAATATATCCTAATGAACACAGGCTGTTAGTCAAAATACAGAAACTGCCAGGATCAATAAAGTTAAAGAAAAGCTTTAGGTAGCAAATAATCTAGAAGCTCTCAGCCTGAGACCCTGGAGAGTTGTTGCCAGTCAAGAGGAAATGATATTGGGTCAAATAATGAGCTGATATAAAACAACTTTCTTATGGCTTTGATATTCAAAGCTTTCTAGCTCCTTCCTTTCATTATCTGTAGCTCCAATTGTCATATAATTCTCTCAATTGTCATAAAAAGAAGGGAAACTATTGGTTCAGGTATATAAAAGGCAGGCCAAAGCGAGGTTAAGCTAGAGTATGTATGTCTGAAGGGAAATATCATCTGCCTATACCAGGGGTAGGCAACCTTTCTGCTTTAAGGGCCGAAGGACTTCAGCTCCCAGAATCCCAGGAGCTATTGGCCAACATGGGACTATTGGCCAACATGGCTGAGGCTTCTGGGAGCTGAAGTCCCTCAGCCCTTAAAGGGGAAAGGTTGCCTACCCCTGGCCTATACATAGCGAGGTGCACTGATAAGATGCAAATTGCAGGTACATGATGGTAGTCCCCTAATCATGTCCCTAATGAGAGTCCAAAAGTGCGGGCAGTTGTGTTATACCATTTTTTTAAAAAAGCCCCACAACACAATCTTTTTCATTACTACAGGGAACAGACCTTTTCTAAAGCTTTGTTATTGCTGTCGCTGTTGTTGTTAACTGCTTTTGCGTTGGTCTCAACCCATGGTGACCCTATGGATGAAACATCTCCAGGCCCCGCTGTCCTGTACTGCTCTGCCCAGCTCCTGCAAACTCATATTTTTGGTCTCTTTAATAAAGTCCATCCATGTGGCCTTCCTCTCTTTCT